CACGGAACATCAGGGGCGAAGGGATTGCACTTCAAAGCCTGACCGACAGCTTGGCAGGATCTGCAGCTACACTGTAGTGTCGGAGAACACAAAATGCGCGTTACCGACAATCAATACTCCGTGAGAGCTCCTTGTACGTGGTGACTTTCCCTTTCGGAACTTCCAGCAGCGCTTCATATACCCGACGACGGAACGGACTCACCGCTGAGAGATCGATTGACATTGTTGCATCACCTAATAAAGCTACTCTCCTATACAGCGACAATGCTCGATATTGTCCAACGTGTACATGCTCAGGTTGTACACCGAACAACGAGAGAATAATAGTGATGGCCACATACTCTAAGATGCTCAACATGCGTGTGGCGTTTAGTACTCGTGATCATTAGCATAGATGTCGTCCGATTGGTAGCCCCGACAAATCCCACTGAACTCGACAACAGCGAATAAGCTGAAACGTCACTATCGCATCACATAAAATCCTCATATGTTTTTGTAATTATGCACCAACCGCAACCAGAGTGAACGACAATTATGATGAAACTATGACTGAATCATGCCCGGAAACGCTCCTATCTACTGTGGCTACGGTCTTGGTGGCGGAGGTGCTCGAGGGGGAGGTGGAGGAGGGGGGACGAACGGGACTGAAAGAGTACACGGGAGTCAGAGACGCGGCAGTCCGGTCAAATCAAATACCACGTCCACCGCTAGAAGTGCTTTTAGGAGTGCTAGCACCAGAAACAGATGGTGCCTTATCAATGGCTTGCGGAGTAGGCTCGGATGAGATCTCGGATTCTCCAACGACTTTGACCATCTCTGCATGTCGGGCCATGTAGTATTTCTCATCCTCAGGATCGAGCCACTCAGTGGGTTCCTCCCTGCAAGATTTTGATAGACATTCTTGGTTCGAATCTCATGACTCACTTGAGCTTGGTTCGCATATACTCCTCTCTCTCCTTCGCACCACGGAGCTTCCTCCACTCGAAGTACGGCACGTGCAGGACTTTGTAGCCCATTCGCGTCAAAAGGCGGTGTTTCAACTTCGTATATGCCGTGTACCTGTACCGAGAGACATGATCCGAGGAGAAAGATCGAGC